ATATTAATCACGTTTTAATTTCTTTAAGGGTTATTAATCTTGAAGAATTGAACACTTTAAGATATATGTTTTTCTAAACAAACCTGCCATGTGTTGGTAAGTGAACTAAATGTCTAACACCAACATCTACGCAGTCGGTAAGGCAATTATTGTTTATAAATACTTGAATAATATGCAAACATATATCAAAATTATAAACAGTATATCAATTGAACACATCAACAATCATACAAGTATATAAGACACTTATTGAACCTCATTAACTAAGGGTACCTGGTATTATTTTCGACATATTTAAAACTAAGATCTTGTGTAAAATAAACGCAGTACGTTTTGACGTAAAATTAACTGTTCATGAGATCTCAATAAGGAAGTATTGTTAAACAGAGCTTAATATATGAGCAATTTAACTAGAAAGTTATAGAACTGTATTGAACGTTTCGTTTTAGAACTATCCTTTTAAATTTTATATCAAAATGGCAAGAACTATCCTTTACATTTTAGTTTAAAACTATCATTTACATTTTACTTTAGAATGGCTAAGATTTAATTTTGTGATTTTGAATTGACCAATGAAATATTTTCTTATATTCGGTTCTTACTTGTAAATTTTACAGGAAAAACGCCAAACATCATTTGGAATTCTGTCAAAATAGAGTAAATCGACAAACTAATAAAGTATTGCAAGCTTGTTTTGATTGAACCTGTTTATTGGCATTGTTAACTGGCCACAAAAAATATCAAGGATGCAAAAAAAAATCATTTAAAACAATTGTTGATCATTGTGATGTAGGAGATAAACTTACAGTAAGACTTAAAAAATCGTAATATTCAAAAAACTAATTGCTGTTAAAATGCAGTTTTCAAAAATATTTCCACTATATTAATGCTCTTATAAATTGTTGATTAAGTTGTAAGTGATGAATAATAATATTTTGATCTAGAGATCTAGAGAACAATGCATTTCTTCTGCATTAAGACATGTTTTAATATATCGTTTATGACAATCATGGTCACTTACCAACAACTTATAATTACCAAATACATACATGAATATTTGTGGATTATTGTCGTTTTATACATAATACTACCAACAAAATAACTATGTATGCCTTATTAATAATTATTTATATCCTACATTATGTAATTATTTTCCAACACTCAATATGGCTGTATTAGAATTATTTTAATGTGACCTTAAACCTAGATGTAATTCTAGGTAGACACAATAGCTGCATTACTATAAACATTATATTTTATGAAAAAATCTATTATTATCACAATGTTTTTAAAGATAGACTAACATAGTATTTTAGTCGAAATGGCGTATATCCGATACTCCCAGACATAGTGAATTTAGGGTTAAGAAAATGTACGGCTTTGTGTAGAGAAAATTCTAATGGCCGTATATTAGTCAACAGGGAGTAATCTATACTGTCAGAGAAATTCCATTACAGGGTAATATATGGGAAATATTTTGAAATTTGTCTGCCCTGTCATCTCAAAAAATATCAGAAGAGTGCTTTGTATGTAATACAAGCGTTACGAATTAGAAAGAAAATCGTTCACTTATTGACCTTCAAAACGGCCCTGAAGTAAAAAACTTTATAAGGCAACTTTGCATTGTTTTTTGCGGATCTTATATAAATGTTTGAGAGGGGCCTGTGTGGAAAATACTTTTTATTTTTTCCCTAACTTTCATGAATAGGTTCGGTCAAATCTAGCCTTCATCATTTTTATTTATGTCGTATCGGGCGTTTTTGACATTTTCGTAATTATATTTATCAGCTTTAAATTTTTGCGCATAATTTAGTTTGTATCGCAAATCGGGCTGCTTTGTTTTTTCTCTTTTATTGTGGATATGTATCGTTAAAATAATACCATGATCTATTTCAGTAATCACGTGTGGGTGAAAATATTACATACATGAAAGATTCTTAGGCTTTCATTATCTACGTGCTGTTTGAAAATAAAATGTGTTGCTGAATCCTGTAGAATTTATACTTATTCAAAGATAGCGTCCGAATGTTTTGTACTTTTTGCTGGTCGGAAACGCCCAATATATAATAACTTGATAATGAAGTTTGTTTAAATAATTTGTCTTAATAATATATGTTTTTTCAATCGTATTTTTTCAATTTGAATTTCAATATAAATTATTTGCCTTTAAATTTGAAATGAAGCTAGATGGAGTACGATGTGAATTTGATATACTATTAGATCTTTTAAACTCTAAGACTGAAAACGAGGCTATATGGGAAGTGATATGAATTTGATAACGATATTTTGTACTCTGAAAATAGAAATGAGGCTTTAAAGGGTATAATATTGATTTTATATGGATGTTATTTATTCTAGAAATGGAAATGAGACTAAATAGATAAAAGATTGGATTCAATTATTATTTCAACTGGAACACACGGTTTTTTTATCTGAAGTCTTTTATTTTTTTATGACTTTCTAAATAAAGCATTTTCATGTTATATAACTATTACTGCGCAAACATTACATTAAAATGTATCAATTATTGCTTGTATTGTCTTGATAAAAAACAGATATATAATACCATTAATCAATTGTTTTTTTTACAATTAGCTACTGGACAACGCGCCATCATTAATTTAAAAAAAGAAATATGTAACAAAATTTCAGATATATATATAAAATATTTGTAAGTTTTGACCACATTTTAAAGGATCGGCTGCCTAATTTGTGGATAGTAGCTTGCACTTTCAAGTACTGTCCATGTACAGACTTTATCATACCGATCTTGCAAAAACTTTTATTTTGCCCTTTCTTTTAGGATTATTGTTTTTTTTTAAGACAAACTTACATCTTTGGTAGAGCCGAGAATTACTTTTGTGATATAAAAAATAAACAGAAACAATTGATTTGTAAATATCTAAAGCAAACATTCTCGAAAGTTCAACATTTTTTTATATTTTTTATATTTAAAAATATTTTATCACATGTGTTCTTTCAAAAATCTGGAAACAAAGTTATCCCTCGGAAGCATTAATCACAACAAAATTACTTGAAAATTGCAGACTCGGTTTGACTGAGTCTGTACATGAGGGATAATGAAAAAGTGCAACATCCCACACGCCCCTAGCACCGGCTTGAGCGGTACTCAATTCTCAGCACTTAATAGTGCTGGCATCAATGATCCCGAAGGACCAGAAAAATATAACAACACTGAAGTGAAGTACGGGCAACTTTTTACAGCTGCCACCTGCTGTTGTGGATTATAAAATCTGGAAACAAAGAGATCCGTCGGAAGCATTAATTACAACAAAATTACTTGAAAATTGCAGACTGTTTAAATATAATAGTGTGGTGCCCAGACCCCTGCTTAGTGTTTCCAGGGCAGTCTGCAGCCTCACATTAACTCAGGGTTCGTTTTACACGGCCCAAGTACCAAATTATAAATGAACACATAAGACATTTTGTAACTTAAAACTCTTTTAATTATAATATTATATAGATCAATTTATTTAAATATACATAGTCATAGATGCCTAAAGTCTATTATTATCCTACCTATAGATGACCAGATTCAGTAAACAAGTACCAGGTTTGGTACAATATAATGAGATACCAGATCTGGTAGTTACCAGATTGGGTACTATACCGGATTGGGTATTATACCAGATTTGGTATGAACCATTTCTGGAACAACCGTTCTCTACACTGGCAAAGTAATTATAACTGTTTAACAATAACAACAAGTGAATTTCACCTGTATCCGATCCATTTTCGGTTATTTAATCGTCTACCATTATCTACTCAATAGAGTACTTTTCTACCAGACGACCTGATATGAGATGACAACGATATGCTAACGCGCAGTATTTATAGTACCCTGTGACGTCATCACATTAATATTCAAAATGGCCGACCAGTGGCAAATTCAGAAATGTGACAAAATATTAAGCAAGATTACATGAAAATAAACGTATGTCAGCATTTAAGAATAGATAATAAACATTTATATATACAAATGGCATCTGAAAATCATAATAATGTGAGATAAAAGCAGTTACATAGAAAGTAATCATCAAAACAATGCGATGGTTCGTACTCAGAAATATTCGTACTCAAAGTCGGAAAATGAATAAATATTAAAGAACATTGATAAAATAGCCTGAGCATCACATTACCCCCACCTCTCAGGAATCGGTCCCCGATTAAGAAGTGTGGTAAGTTAATTTTTACATATTTTTTTTTTTAACTATTTATTTAAAGGTACACTATTAAATACTTATTATCATTATGCTTAATTGACTTAATTGATTACTGAAATACATGTAAATAATTAACAACACCAATTAATTAAGAGTTATGTTGTTCACTTGTAGATATAATCTTTTTATAACAATTTAACAATTCAAAATAACAATTTATTTACAATTAACAATAGGAAGTCTCTTTTAGGTTACAAGTACAAAAGCAATTCAGACTGTAGAACCAGTACAGATGTCTATAAATATGTAAGTATACAGCCTTTAAATAATTGTTTTGTGTCAATAATTTAAAAATATCACTTTTACTTCACATGCGAATTGACTTCCATAACATATGAAAACAATAACAATAATAATTTAACATGTCTAAAACCTTATAACATTGTTTCATAATAGTACATGTATATTCCACAAAGATAATGATTATAATGTCTTTACATATTCTTAATATAAGAAATTTGTAAGTCTCATCTGTTGAGGTAAGCAATTATGTCACTTATAATGCACTAAGTGTTCATAAATTTTGATATTTAGTAACATTGCATTTCAAAGTATAATGTCAAATGTTATATTAATAACACTAAATGTATACATGTATATTTAACATAGATGTATTCTATTGCGTCAAATTATTTTACACAAAAATTAAATGTTCATTGTATTATTTTTAAAGTATTTCAGACACACTGAACTATGCATGGCACAAAATCCTGTAGAATAATCACAAAATATGTATATTACGTAAGTATGAGTTTGTCTCACAAATAAAGTTAAGATAATTAATTCTTACGAAATTGATAACAGATTTCTTAATAAAAATTATGGCAAAATGTTTACTTTGAAATATTTGTTAACACTAAATTTAGCTGGAAACATTAAATGTGTATTTGTATAAAGTTTAATTAATCTTTTAAAGTCCACTGAAGATATCTGTAATACTGTTCCTTTAGTTTGTTCATCATGCTGATACTTAGTTTATCGGTAAATTCCTTTTGTCATATGTATTTCTTTTATCTAAAAATTCCTTTTATCTTTGAATAATTATTTTCTAAATATTCCTTTTATCATCCTGTCTATATTTGACATTACAACACTTTATTTATTCTTGTTTACACATTTTCTTTTAAACTTATCCTTTTGTCACTGCACTGTTTTTCCAGCTTTGGGAGGTTGAAATATTTCGCCTCGAGTTGTAATGCAGCCAAACTTCCTCTGTCTGATGGTAAAAGATCCCTTGACAGGTTCATCACTCCTTGTTGACGGTATCTTAAATGATTTAAGACATATGGGAATAGTTCACTGTCCCTGTCAATGAACAATTCATCTTTATTTATCACTACTTTGTCCATTATGCCTTTCACGGTGGTATTTAAAGTTGAAAATTTTCGTCCTCCTACATTCAGTGTAACTATTTCGATCTTTTGTTTTTCTTCTGTTTTCTTACTATGTCTTTCCTCCTTGTCCTTTGTGTGTTGTCTCTTTTCTTCTACTCTTCCCTTTTCTTCATTTTCTTTCTCTGCTTCCATGTTTCTCTTTTCTTTCTCAAGTCTATGTTCCTTCTCTTTTCTCTTTTTCTCTTCTGCTTCTTTTGTTTCTTTCTCTTTTCTTTCTTTCTCAAGTCTAAGTTCCTCCTCTTTTCTCTTTTTCTCCTCTGCTTCTTTCCTTGCTTCATTCTCTTTCCTTTCCTTTTCTACTCTCTGTCTCTCCTCTCTTTCTTGCCTTTGCTTTTCCTCTGCTTCCTTCACTTCTTTCTCTTTTCTTTCTTTCTCAAGTCTAAGTTCCTCCTCTTTTCTCTTTTTCTCCTCTGCTTCTTTCCTTGCTTCATTCTCTTTCCTTTCCTTTTCTACTCTCTGTCTCTCCTCTCTTTCTTGCCTTTGCTTTTCCTCTGCTTCCTTCACTTCTTTCTCTTTTCTTTCTTTCTCAAGTCTAAGTTCCTCCTCTTTTCTCTTTTTCTCCTCTGCCTCTTTCCTTGCTTCATCTTCTTTTATTTCCCTTTCAATTCTTAGCCTCTCCTCCCTTTCTTGTCTCTCCTTTACCTCTGCTATCTCTCGCCTTTCTTTCTCTTTTCTAAATTTTTCCTGTTTCTCTTTTCTTTCATTTTCAATTCTTAGTCTTTCCTCACTTTCTTTTCTTAATTTCTCTTCGTAACAAGGTTCCACAATTTGAAAGTCATCCTCCAGATCAAGTAGATCCCTAACAGCAGTTACCGTTTCATCTTCTCTTGAGCTTGTACTACTTGATCTGGATGTGTCTGATGATTCAGAGCTACTGGAGCTAGAACTTTCCCTTCTCTTTTTCGTACATCTGTTTTCTCTGCTTTGCGGCCTTCCCCTCTTTCTTTCGAATAATACTGGTCTTGTCTGTTTCCTTATCATATTATACCCTTGCCTTTTGTCTATTATCAAATCAGGAATTGTTAGTTTAAATCTTTCCATTATGTCATCAGCTTCTTTCCCTCTTTCACCTGTAGCCTGGACAAACCTAATATAATTTTCCTTTTTGTCATGACAGGTATTTGCTTGCGGTGTGTTTCTATGATAGACCTTGCAACAGAATCGACACTTCCATGTCACGCCAGAGTGCTGTTCTAGAATATGACTGTAACATCTGCTTCGGGTTGTAAAGGAGATATCTCCACAAATCTTACATTCAAAGGGTTTCTGAAGATAGACAAAATAAGTTTCCTAAGTATAAACTTCATTATCTTTATATTTATCCATTAATACATTTCGTGAATTTATATTTGTCCATTAATACATTTCGTGAATATACAATAATTACTTTTCAACAAGTTATGAAAGTAATTTCTTATCAAGTATTATTTATCATGTCATGTATATAATAACATCATTATATATCTTTTAATTTATAATAATCCATTGGTAAAGAATCATATAAAATTATCTTTTCATTTTAAATAAGACATTATCAACTGAATATGATATATCTCTATACAATGTAGCAAAAATTAGCAACAACAACAACAGAACAGTAACAATAAAACTAACGCAATACCAAACAGTCTATACTGTTGTGAATTATAGGTGTGCTATTTACACCTATTTGTTTAATTAATGTATGCTTTAAGCTTATCATGATGAACAACTCTAGGTCGTTCTCTCTGACTACCCTTTATTCGATATAAAATGTTGCTAACTTTTTCAATTATTTGATATGGACCTTTCCACGGTCTTGTTAATTTTCCACTTCTACCAACTTTTCTCTGTGGGTTATAATACCAAACAGAATCACCTACTACATAAGAAGTCTGATTAGCATTTAAATCATAATTTCTTTTCATAGCATCACTTGAAATTTTTAATTTCTTTCTAGCAAAAGAATGAATTTGATAAAGTTTTTCCTCTAATTTTCTTACATAATCACTGGCATACCTGTTTTCTTTTTCAGGATTGTCTACAAGAGGAGCTCCTATCAATAGGTCAATTGGCAACCTCATCTGAGTTCCAAACATCATAGAGAATGGTGTGACACCAGTAGATTGATGTACAGCAGTGTGATGTGCCATCATGCAGAAAGGTACATACTTGTCCCAATCATCACCATTTTCAGAAACAAATGCCGTTAACATATTTAGGACACTTTTATTAGTTCTTTTTACAAAACCAGCCCCTTGAGGTCTAAAAGGTGTATTTCATGTCTTTTTAATGTCAAACAGTTGACAGAGTTCTTTAAAAAGATTAGACTCAAACTGTGGACCTTGGTCTGTATGTATACTTAAAGGTATTCCAAATCTTTGAAAAATATTTGATATGAGTGCATCTGCTACTACTTGAGTTTCTATATTTGGTAATGGGATTGCCTCGGCCCATTTAGAGAAATAATCAGTTACTACCATTAAATATGAATTATTTCTTTCTGTTTTCCCTAAAGGACCTACAAAGTCTACCCCAATTCTTTCCCATCTTTCTCCGGTGACAAATTGTTTCATATAAGCTTTTTGTTTCTGACGAGTCGGTTTTCTGGACTCGCACACAGTGCATTTTCTAATCCAGTCTTCAATATCTTTTCGTAAGCTATACCAGAAAAACCTTTGTCTAACCCTAAATATTGTTTTCTTCACACCTAAATGAGCTGATGTTGTTGAATTATGCATTTGTGTTAATACCTGTTTAATCAGGACTTTAGGAAGAATAATCTGATATTCCACTGAGTTATCTATGTCACTAACCCATTTTCTGTAAAGGATATCTTCTTTAATTATCAATGATTCCCACCTATACCAATAATACTTATATTCGGCATTATATTTAGATACCATATTCCAATTTGGTTTGTTTCCAGACAACACCCATTCGGACACTTGACCAATTACTGAATCTTCTCTTTGCATCTTGGCTAAGAGCTCTAAATTTAATTCATTAATATCAATGTCACTGTTGTCTTCAGAATTTTGCGTATGTTTGAATTCATTATCTGATTGTTTGGTGCTTGTTGATGGTTTATTTAGGTTTGTGTGTGAGCTATCCTTATTTTTGTTCAAGCAGACATTACTATCTTTATTGGACGGACCTGGTAAACATTCATGTGAAGTGTTACTGTCAGACTTGGCAGACCTGACCCCTATAGTTAACATTTCACTACTTTGACCTTGAGACTTGACAGGTTCTTTGCATCCTGTCCTATTAATTTCCTTTTCAGTCAGCGAAGGTTTTCCATAATCTATTGTTGCGCCAGACATTGTTTGACTGACCACCATGCAACAATTCTTGGAAGCCTTATCTTGACAATTGAACTTACTATTATTTAGTATAGTAACTAAATCTGCACTTTTATCTCTGTCGGTACAGACATTAACACAAAAAGTTTTACATATATCCCTACTTGTCACATTTAGTAAAATAAGACAAAAAGCAACTGTAATAGAAATTGGAATTTGGGTAACTACCACTATTATTAAGATAAGACTTAATATTAACTTTTCAGTGGTGATTTTTCCTTGATTCAGAGTAGTATTTACTGGGCTTTCACTAGCGCTGGGTTTGTTTTGAAAGACAGGACAAACAGAAACATTTTCAGTACATAACACCTTTTTGTTATTTTGATCATGTTTATCTTCAACACGTTCACAATATGAACAATTTTTGTTATAACAGGGACGACGACTTAATGCGTCAGCATTACCATGTATTTTACCTGGTCTATGCTTTATTTCATAGTCATAATTTTCTAAAATGCTTACCCAACGACATAACTGACCCTCTAATTGTTTAAAATTGGTAAGCCATCTTAGACTCGCATGATCTGTACGAATAGTGAATTTTCTTCCGTATAAATAATGATGGAAATGTTTTACCGCAGTAACGACAGCCAGTAATTCTCTGCGTGTCACGCAGTAGTTACGCTCGGATCTTGAAAAGCACTTAGAAAAATACGCGATTACTTTTTCTTCTCCGTCTTGTACTTGATGGAGCACCGCTCCCATACTTGAATTACTCGCGTCCGTATCAAGTATGAAATAATCATTTTGGGTAGGGAAAGCTAGTATAGGACTTGTTATCAAAGCTGTTTTCAAAGCTTGAAATGCATTTTCACATTCTATTGTCCATTCAAATTTCTTATCTTTTTCTGCTAAAGTATGTAAGGGTTTTGCTATGTTCGAAAATTGATAAATGTACTTTCGGTAAAATGAAACAAGTCCCAGGAAACTCTTAACATCTCTAACATTTCTTGGTGTGGGCCATTCTTTAACACTTTTAACTTTTTCTGGACATGTGGAGGTCCCTTCTTCACTTACAACATGACCCAAAAATGTTACTTGCTTTTGAAAGAAATGGCATTTTCTAGGATTTAATTTTAAGTTTGCTTGCTTTAATCGCTGTAAAGCTTCTTCAAGGTGTTTTAAAGTATCATCAAAAGTCTTTGCAAATAAAATTATATCGTCTAGATACAAAACTAAAGTTTTCCAGATAAGACCCTTAAAAACCATTTGTACTAGTCGTGTGAATACACTTGGACTATTAGACAAACCAAATGCTAACTTTTTAAACTGCCATTGTTGACCACCTTGAAGACTAAAAGCTGTTTTCGGTCTACTCTCTTTATCAATGTCTACTTGCCAAAAACCTTTTGACAAGTCACAAGTACAAAACCATTTAGAACCTGATAAAGCGTCAAGATTATCTTCAATTCTAGGCAAGGGTTGGTATTCTTTTATTGTAACTTCATTTAATTTGCGAAAGTCACAACAGAAACGAACAGACTTGTCAGGTTTTGTAACCATAATGATAGGTGATAACCAAGGTGAGCAAGCTGGTTCGATTATCCCGTCTTCAACCATTTTCTTTATTTCATTTTCAGCCACCTCTCTTTTTGCTAGAGGTATTCTGTAAGGATAGGTTTTGATAGGGGTACTGTTACCAGTATCTATATGGTGTTCCACTAACTTTGTGTGACCTATATCTCTATCATTTTTAGAGAATACATCTTGATATCTTACTAAAATTTGCCTAAGTTTAGCTTTTTCCTCACTATTTAAATGAATAGAGGACCTTTCAAAAAGATCATTTAAATGTAATGGTATTTCAGTATTGTTTGGACTTGCGACATGCTCTTTGCTACTGCATACACTGAATTTATTAGGTAAACTGTTCTCATTCACTGTTACAGACTCTAAATTACCCACAACTGTATTTTTATAAATTTTACAAGGTTCTGAATTGAAATTAGCAATTCTAATAGGAAAATTACCTGTATTAGGATTTACTAAAGTTTTGGCTACCAGTAAACCAGATTTTTCTACAAAATTTGTATTGGCCTCTATTATAGCTGAACTATTCTTGTCTACTGCATCTAAAGGTTTACCCTCTAAAATTATTTCAGTTTCTGGAGGTATTTCTATTGTCTCAGCTACAACTATTCTACAACATGTGTTTTCATTATCCTTTTGGTGCATATAACATGGTATCTTATCCCCTTTTAAGGTTATATACTTTTTACTGAATATTATGTCACACTGATTTTGTAATAGAAAATCTACACCAAGTATACCACCTTGCTGTATTTCAGCAATTAAAAATGTATGTACAATACTATGTCTACCTATTTTTATAGCAATTTCTGTTTTTCCTAAAAATGGAGTTGACTCCCCTGTTACTGATATAAGTGAAGTTTGAACAGGATATATTACAGGTCTATCTGAATATGGAAGCCTTTCTATTGTCTCTTTATTTAAAATGCTTACATTAGCTCCACTATCTACTAACATTGACACATGGTTACCATATAAAAATGCTGACAAAAAGTAACCATGATCTGATCCTAAATTATTTAATGCAATCTGGGACCTGCATTTCTTGTCAAGTTGTGGCCCCTCCAACTTGGCATTTGTTCGTTTCCCTGATTAAAATTTTGATTTCTTCTATTATCATACCCTGATTTTGGTTGGTTTTCATTTGATCTAGCATTATACCTAGTATTTCTATTTTCATGATAATTTCTAAAATGATTGAAATTTTGTCTTGTTTGCTGTCTATTATTTTCAGGTCTAAATTCCTGAGCTTGATATGGTCTGTTAAATGTAGGTTTAGACATGTTGGGTTTAGGTCTGTAAGGGTTGCTATGAGAACTATTTTGTGAGGATATAGATTTTGTAGGTTTTTCAGTACTTTCCTGTACACTGCCTATAAGTCTACTTCTCTGTCTGTCAGCGAGCCTATGAGCTTCCATCCTGACAGCTATTTGTTCGGCCTCAGATATACTTTTTGGGCTAACTTCTCGTAATCTTAGTCTAATATCAGACTCATTCAGGGCATCTATAAAACTATCTAAAGCTAAAGCATCTACAACGTCTGGGTTTGCGGTCGGATATGCTTTTCTTGTCAATTTACGTATTGATTGGGCCAGTTCGGGAATGGACTCTCCCTTTAACCTTATTCTAGTTTTTAGTTGAGTACGAAATACCTCGGCCTTGTTTTCAGAACCAAATCTGCTCTTTAGTTTTAAAATTAAACTTGAGAAATCTCTTCTTTCAGTTTCAGACAATTCTGTTAACAGAGATCTAGCAGTACCTGTCAATGTACTAGCCAAATATAAGGACTTTTCAACATATGTCCACCCATTAATTTCAGAAGTTATTTCGAACTGTGTGAGAAAATCATGTAGATCTTCTTCTCCACTAAAATTCTGTGGTTTCATTTTCAAACCATGTCTCTTGTCATGAGATATCACATTATCAGCAGAGCTTTCATTGAAATTTTGACCTATATGATTATTACTAATATTACTTGGTCTTGATGGTGTTATATGAACAGGAATTTGAGGATTAACATTATGCTCAAAATGTACATTGTTTCTATAATGATTGAAACTGACCTCATTATCAGGATGTTCTAATTCAGACAACCGTGATCTAACAGATAAAATATCATTTTCTACAGTACCTAGTTTATTTTGTATTTTACTAGTTACATTTTCTAAAGTAAGGCTTAAAGTGCCTATTTCTTTTACTAGATTTGAAATTTGACTTCCCATAAAATTTTCAAGACTATCAATTCTAGAACTAGAATCATATTGTTTTTCATTATATACATTTTCGGAAGAGCTTTGATCGCCTTCACTATAATCACTGTTATCCATTGATTCAGTGTTTTTCGGATTCACAACAGAATAGCTATGATCAATATCTAATTCAGCCATTTTGTAACTATTACTAAGTAAATTATATAATTTTATCAAGGAAACAATTTAACTCACAACCTGGAAATATTTATATATATATACTATATATTTCTTACTTATCATAAAGACTTATAATATAAGTTCATAATTCTGTACTAACGTACCAATAAAAATTTTGTCACCATTACTTGTCATAAGTATGTGTCAACTTATTATATCAATATCTTTTCCAGGTTGTCAACATAACATCAACAGCTAACCTTCCAGTGTAGAGAAAACAGAACAGAAAACTGTCAACATAAACAACACAAATCTTATCCCAAATATTTAACTTTTCTTTAAATTGTCTAGCCAATTGTCAGGATTATTCAACTTTTCAAATGGAAAAATTGTTTTTTTCACTTATGTGTAATACTAACTAAATTCTAAAAAAATTATTCTTGTTCTTATCTATATTATCATGTTCAATTTATCTAAAACATTTGTGTTAACCATGATCTTGTTAGACCTTGTAAATCCCACTTCTGACACCAGATGTGGTGCCCAGACCCCTGCTTAGTGTTTCCAGGGCAGTCTGCAGCCTCACATTAACTCAGGGTTCGTTTTACACGGCCCAAGTACCAAATTATAAATGAACACATAAGACATTTTGTAACTTAAAACTCTTTTAATTAAAATATTATATAGATCAATTTATTTAAATATACATAGTCATGGATGCCTTAAGTCTATTATTATCATACCTATAGATGACCAGATTTCAGTAAACAAGTACCAGGTTTGGTACAATATAATGAGATACCAGATCTGGTAGTTACCAGATTGGGTACTATACCGGATTGGGTATTATACCAGATTTGGTATGAACCATTTCTGGAACAACCGTTCTCTACACTGGCAAAGTAATTATAACTGTTTAACAATAACAACAAGTGAATTTCACCTGTATCCGATCCATTTTCGGTTATTTAATCGTCTACAATTATCTACTCCGTAGAGTACTTTTCTACCAGACGACCTGATATGAGATGACAACGATATGCTAACGCGCAGTATTTATAGTACCCTGTGACGTCATCACATTAATATTCAAAATGGCCGACCAGTGGCAAATTCAGAAATGTGACAAAATATTAAGCAAGATTACATGAAAATAAACGTATGTCAGCATTTTAGAATAGATAATAAACATTTATATATACAAATGGCATCTGAATATCATAATAATATAAGATAAAAGCAGTTACATAGAAAGTAATCATCAAAACAATGCGATGGTTCGTACTCAGCAATATTCGTACTCAAAGTGGGAAAATGAATAAAAGTAATAAAGCATTGATAAAATAGCCTGAGCATCACAATAGTGTAGATTTTTAAGAGGGAACTTACTTGTTAGCAAGAGAGATTTTCTTAAGAAAAGTGTGTAACCAATAGCAAATAAAAATAAATCGATAACTCCTGTACATTGTATTATATCTAGTAAATATTAGTTTGAGTGGGGAGTTGAGTAGGCGCCCTCTTTTGTTAACTAGATGATCAATCGATTGAGTGATTTTAAAGTTGTATTTGAAACAAGTGGACCACGTGCTTCCCTTAATTTGTAAAAGTCGACATTATTCTGAAAGAATATACCGGCTATGATATAATACAGTCATCAATGTTTTAATATGTTTATGTTGCACAGACAGACCACGTAATATTGAGACTTCAATAAAATTAGGAGAACATTTTGTAATTTTTGGATTGTAAACGTGGCATCAATCAGAAAAACAGAAAGAGCATTGTTATCGAACGTACAAACGTAAAAATAAGCTTAAATTGAAAACAGACAATACAAACAAGCCAGGTTTCCTTTGTTTAAGTTTGCATTATTGAAATGTTTATGGTTTTCAAATGTTATTGATACTGGATAAGAATTTCTCATTGTCCATAAAATAGAATTGAAACGTCAAATCAATAAGTTATTTAAGTTAGATAAACATTTTGCTGAATTAGTCCAAATGTTCAATATCAAGTACAAACGCCAGTACATAACCACAATCAAATGATAAAATCACTTCAACAAATTAGCTCCAAAGTTGTATGAACAGTGCTGATTGCAAGGAATATAAATATTTTGCATTTTTTGGACTACTTTGTTAATATTCAGGTATTAAAATATATGAATTAGTATAGTATAAAGATGTCATTTTTTTAGATATAATCTTATATTATTGTCGTTTTGTTTGGTTTTTAATTTGGATTTTGACGAACTTATATCTACTAAATATTTGTAACCGTATATTATATATTATAGGCAATTATCAACATTTTTCTAACAATAACGACCAAAATTGAAAAGGAGGAAGCATTGTCGTAGTTATAATATATGTTTATGTTTTAAGGTTTTGTCTTGCCCGGACTAGGGATAGAATTTCAACTTTATCAAATGTATAGTTAAGACGTCCGATCACAATAGGTTCATGGTACTATACTTTACGGTTTAGCAAGGAAATCGTTATTCTTAAATCATGAAGCCCTTGTAGTTTTGGCCTAAAGAGTTTCGAACACCGACAGGAGGAAGTCCCAATGCTAAAGCAAATAAGTTGAACCTCCCATTCATAATCGATAAAAGGATTTATAAAGTTATTCTATGTGGTACAGTCTCTTGTTGTTAAAAAAGAAACTTGATGTATGTTACATTGATTAATTTTATCTAGTGTGAAATAAAGTTTGTTTTCCGAAATTTGATTTAGTTACTAATTATAAGTATTTTAAATCTGAACATTGACCTGCAAAAAATAAAGTGTCATTTAACTTAAAAAAAGCAGAAAACGGTATTCATGAACAGCTAATGTCATCGCCTATGACAGCGCAAACATGGAGAAATAGCACAACAATGCATTATTTGTGTTTATAGTTCTCGTCTGTAGTAAACTAGTATTGTATTTCTCTAACTGTTAATCAGAAAAAGGGCACCCTAAGGATGAATGCACATAAACTTTTATCTACACATCTAATACTAGAATATTTTTTGACTTTGTTTAAGTCTTTTCTAAATCCTTTGAACGAAAATTACATGTTTTGTTTCTTAAACGAACATTGTTAATAAACGTGGTGCATTAACTAACTCGTAGATAATCTTGCACTTGACTACATCATACTTTAATTTTAGTATTCTGCGCGGTATGACCGGTAAAATGTCAGTCTATCTTTTAGTTTAGATATACTTTAATAGATAAAGTATATGATAAACCAATCAAATACAAACTGGATACGTAAATACTGATAGATAACGTAGAATTGGTTTTAAATGTTTTATATTAAACCCATATATACTTTGGACACATATTATGCGTTTCAAGGGATCTACCCTTGAAAGTACATTATCTCTTGTTTTCGTGCAAAATAATTTTTATCAGGAAATAAATTGCACCATGGCTTATTGGGTCAGTGTTGTTGAAATGAGCATGTTTGTTTCAATGTCTGGTCTTTTTATTCCAGATACCTGCATTGTCATTCCTTCTCTTCAATTCTTTATTCTACTATGTTATAAGCAGAGAATATTCATTTGCTACAATACTCGAATTTGACCTATCACGCATCTTTCTGATAAAGA